CCGCGTGTGGAATGTGTGGTTTTGTCTGGAGTAGAAGCTCCGGGCCAGACCACATTTGTTTGCTATACGGTATATTTCTCTGGTGAATCCTTGTTGGGCCTGGAAACAAAAGGGCATGCATCCATGACAGGTCGACGTCATCCCGGAGCCGGTCGCGGGAGCGCCCGGTTGTTTTGGGATCGCCAGAGTACTTGCTCTGTTCTACACCATATGTCGACACCCCCGAAGATCGTAGGTGGAAACATTAGCGTCATAGGGTGGCGCCGTAGGGCTGCTGTGTGCCAGTGCCAGTACTTGCTAATGGTGATGATTGTTGATGACGAGCCGAGTTGCCTGGCACAGTATCCCTGCTCCTACGAGTCAAGGGGAAACAACTCGGTGCTGCGTTGTTAGCAACATGGCTGAAATAGGACAAGAAGCTCCGATGGTTAGGGGCGACTTGAGAAGTAAACAGTGGCCATAGCTTACCCCTGAGTAATGCATGAGACGGGGAGGTGGAGAGCATCATCCTAACAAGTCGCCTCCAGGGGGAAAGGGCTAGAAACTCCGGATGAGGATGGCGAAATGCTGCACGTCCGATATGTTGTCTAGCGTGCCCAAACACAAGAGATCGAAACCCTAGATAGAATCATCCAAACAGTTAACTCGCCCAAAGGCAACATATCAGATGGTAGTCTTTTTAGCAGAGTCTATTATGGTATTAGAGTAATATACAATTCCCAACCCTTCACCCGCTAAATCGCTGTGGTGTAAATTCAAGCGGTGGTGATGACCACGGTATCAAAACACGCCCGCCAAGGTAGCCAACGCCAATTCAAACAACAACCAGCCCAAACCCATGCCCAGCCCGCTAAATCCATCATGATCGTAACAATAGCCAAAAAGTACCCAGGACCTCGACAGGCCCTTTTTAATCCTCTTGGACCCACCCTTTGCTCATCTCGACGGCTTTCTCCCACCTCTTGAACATTTTTTCCGCCTTGGCCTTCTCCATTTGCGGTTGGAAGACCTTGCGCCCATTCTGGTTGACCTCCTTGAGATCTTCCAATGTCCGCCACACACCCGTGGCAAGGCCTGCGGCGATAGCGGCACCGAGAGCGGTCGTTTCGCGCATAGCAGGGCGATCGACGGGAATGCCGGTAACGTCGGCTTGGGTCTGCATGCACAAGTCTGAATTGGAGAGGCCGCCGTCGACAGCGAGTGACTCAAGTTTGTGCTGCGAGTCCTTTTCCATTGCGTCGAGGATGGCGCGGGTCTGGTAGCAGGTTGCTTCAAGAGTCGCACGAGCGATGTGGCCCTTGGTGGTGTGGTGGGTGATACCAACTGCGAAGGCGTTAGAATCCAACTTAGAAAAAGGAGGGGTGGGTGGTTTCTTACATAGTGTTCCCTTGGCGTCGTCAATCCAGTACGGAGCAAAAAGTCCGCTAAAGGCAGTGACAAAGACGACGCCGCCGTTGTCGGGGACCGATTCTGCCAGCGCAGTGATCTCGCTCGAGTCGTCGACAAAACCGAGGTTGTTCATGAGGAACTTGACGCCGGAGCCGGCGACGGCGATGCTACCCTCGAGGGCGTACACAGGCTTCTTGCCACCACCAAAATCGTAGGCTACAGTGGCGAGGAGCCCGTACTTGGAGATGACGGGTTCGGTACCAACGTTGTACAGGAGGAAGCACCCGGTACCATATGTGTTCTTGGCTTGCCCCGGACTGAAACCGCACTGGCCGACCAGGGCGCTGGACTGGTCACCCAAACACCCGGCAATGGGCACATTGATCAGTGGGCCGCTGGCGATCTTGCCAAAACATTCCGGGTCGGACGATGGAACGATCTTGGGTAATTGGACCTTGGACTTGTCGATGCCAAAGAAGCCCAGGAGCTTGTCGTCGTACTGCAGGGTGCGGAGGTTGACAAACATGGTTCTGCTGGCGTTGGTGCTGTCGGTGACGTGGACGACCTTCTCGGCTTTTGCGCCGCCGTTGAGTTTGTAGATGAGCCAGGAATCGACGGTGCCGAACGCAAGACGGCCTTCTTCGTACGCTTGCTTGACGGAGTCGACATTCTGGAGGAGCCAGAGCAGCTTGACACTGCTAGGATACGTCGAAAGGGGTAGACCGCAGAGGTCCAACAGTTCCTCCGACCCATCGCGCGACTTCAATTCGCGGACGAGCGCACTCGTCCGGGTGTCGGGCCAAACAATGGCATTGTGCAGGGGCTCGCCGGTGGACTTGTCCCACACTACCGTCGTTTCGCGCTGATTGGTGATGCCAATTGAGCGAATGTCTGACTTGGAGTAGCCAAGGTCAACAAACTTGCGCAGAGCCTCTTCAATGCATTCTTCGACTGAGCTGACAAGTTCTTGCGGGTCATGCTCGTGCCATCTGGATGGTTTAACGTTTTGTTAGCCCCATTGATGTGCAGGATGTGCAGCAGCTCCGCAGGTTAAGGTGGAGAGATTGCGGGGCGGGGAGCAGGTGCCGGCGCAAACATACCCTGACTTTGGATACAGGTTCTTAAACTCTATTTGGTGGCTCGCAACAGGATCGCCCTCGCCGTTAAAGATAAGGAAACGCGACGATGTGGTGCCTTGGTCGATGCTGCCGACGAACCAGTGCTGCTTCTCTTCCTCCTCCGTTTCGATGATACCCTGGGGGAGATGGACCTCGTGGTGTGGATGGAAGTTGGCGGCGTCGTCGGGGAGTGTCCTGGGTGTGGCGGCAGTGGGCTTCATTAATAGGCCGTCCAGGTTGAGGCTGGGGCCGCCATTGACGAGCACATCTTCAAACCGTGCTGGATTGAGTTCTCGGATGTGTACCATGGTGTTTTGGTGTTGTGTTCCCTTGAATTGGTGGTGTGAGTGTGGGATTGGTGGGTGGCTCATGGAATGGAAAGTGCGACGGTGTGGTGGTTGTTGTTGGTTTTGGATCCGGGTCGAGATAATGGGTGGTTGCAACCGCGGACGGCGTAGCTCTGATAAAGAATGCCGGCGCGGGGCTTGAGGGGGGTCAGAATCGGGAAGGATGACAGAGGAGGGGGGTACGTCATCCAAGGCGTGGCCCTAGCTATTCGTACAGCGATCGTGATGTGTCAGCCGGGAGAAGGCGAAGGTGACCTTCGATCTGTTGCAGCTCCTCCAGAGACTTCTCCGCTGTGATGCTACAAGTGGCGATGCAGCGTTCCAAGGGACATTCGTTCCAATTAAGATGGTTCGAGGGGCGGGTGCCCCTCTCAGCGGTAGCGCGCACATGTCAGCGGCGGCGTGCTTTTAAGTCAAAAAGCCGATACGGCGTGTCGTTTAGGGGGTGCTGTCGCACAGCGTGCCTTCCGGCTCAATTTTTCTTTGTTGGCTGAAAGAGGCGCTTCGTGGTTGCATTCTGCAGACAGGGAAGCTTGGACCGAGGTCTCGTCCATTGGTGGGTTTTTTGCGGGGAGACAGCCGTCTCGTGGGGGGTGTTTGCTTTGATCACGGGAAGTAAAAGCCACCGAGTCCCACTGCCATGGAACCCCGCAAACGACCCCGCTAGGGACTCGGCGAATGCTCCGCTCGAGGGATCTCGAACTTCGACCGCGACTCGAGCGAGCATGGCATTTCTGATCGTCGCTCTGCACCCACACAGCAGGATTTTTTTTTACAACGTCATGGAGAGTCACCCGGGACCAAAGCTCCGATTGACGTCTTTTCGATCCAGGCAAATTATCTTGTTCTCTGCGAGTGATGTCGCTTCCCCACAGAATTATCATTATCAGTACAATCCAGGGGTCAGATGCGATCCCGATGCAGCCCCTCTTCAACTGCAAACTAGAGTTAACTACCCCTGGGCCGGTGAGGACCCAATAAGTTTTGGATGCGACGATGGACTGCACGTAAAAAAGCACATCTGGGTCCCAAATTTGTCTAGACCCCGCCGATCTCACATTGCACAGCCGACAACGCACTCCTTTACCGGTCACTTGACTCGAGAAGTATGAACTCCGCGCTTCTGGGCAAATTTGCAATTCCCATGAGGGCTGGCTAGAACTCGGGATTATCTAGGTTTATCCCCGCAGATGGGGTTCTGCTTATCGGGAGCGGCTCGCCCGAACCCGCGCCGTCAGGGTCATGCCTTGGGGGAAAAGGTTTAAAGCGGGAACGAGTCAGGTCCCCAGCCTAGAACTCGACCTCTGTCCACCGAGATCCTCTTGTCTCAGTCCGACGATTCAGAAACCGGCGGTCTGGACAGACATACGGGTCCAACTCACTGTCCAAGTGTCTCGTGACTTGCAAAAACCAACACAGAACTATCGCAGACCGAGCGATCCGCCGAAGATAAGGGCAACGGCGAAAAAAGGAGGTCGCATGCGGCGGGGAACAGCCCCTGCCCAGACACGTGGGAACGGGGGGAGTAAGTCTAACATGTGGAGAGGCTGTTAGTCGACATGGAACGGTTTGTTCGTTTGAGGACATCCGAAAGTATTAGATTACGTGTAGAAAATATCTGGCGTAAGACAGAATAATCATATCCCACGTATGTAGTTAGTGAAAGCTTGTACTTTCTCTTCCTCTCCTTTTGATTATACGTATTCAACAACGTTGGATTATTCGGTCCCTCGAAGCTGAGACGACTCACATACAAGTATGATTTGAAGTTTTAACTAGGGCAGTAGTAGATCGAGGCAAATCAGGCGGCGGAAGGTAACAAAGAAAACAAACAATATCGCGTAGAAGATGATTGATCTACAGATCATCACTCTTGCATCGCAAGTAAATTGTGTCGAGGGACTTCCTTTAACAGCCTGAAGCCCTCTCGGAGTGACATTCGGGCTCAGCACCTATCTCGGCCGACAATCATTGCCATGTGAATAAACGGACATGTTCATTTCAAAACTAAGAATGTCGAACCTCACTCGAATGTAATACCCGCTCGGTTCGGGGTCATGACGGTGTCGGAAATTGGAGTCTTGCGCAGCTCTACCATACCAATGCAAGTTTCCACCAATCCCTCTCAACAATACGAATCTAGCCTGCCCGGCTAGCTCAATCGGTAGAGCGTGAGACTCTTAGGGTTCGGGTTATCCACTCAAAGGTTCACAATCTCAAGGTTGTGGGTTCGACCCCCACGTCGGGCTCAATTCCCGGCAACTTCGATTGCCTCTCTTTTTTGCTTTTTTTCTGAACATTTCCGTGAACGTTCTTGACAGATTTTGTTTGGGGAGGCTGACAGTTCGGTGTTCTTTTGGGGATGCGTTGGCAATTGCGACTCTTGTTGTGCCTTCCACTATGAAGGCCGTCCTTCCATCACCAGCAGCATCCCGGACGAGAGTGGTGTGATGAGAGAGATATTTTGTTTATTCCTCGTCCGATCTAAAATGGGGCCATATGTGTGACTCCAGGGAGGACTCCGCCCCCTCCTGATAAGTATACACTCGGCCTACTTTTGCAGCAACCCGTAAGTAACTCCTCAAACCGACAACATACCAAAGCTATGATATATCCTCCATACGTCCCAGGGGCCCAGCCCATCCCAAATTGGAGGAAGTTAGCACCCCAAGCAACCCAACCCAGCCAACCCGTCATCAAGATCATCTTCGCCGTCGCCATATGCATGCTCGCTTTGCCGCCGCTCAGTGTTATATAACCGAACAATGCTCGTCCACGCAGGAAACAGAGAGGAGAGCCAAGCCCAGAGCTACCGAATGGAGCAACCGAGCGAAAAGAAAAAAGAATAAACTCCCGAAATGCAAACTAAACGCCATGCCCCCAAGATAGAGTTAACACACTCACTCACCCATTCAAGTCCCCAAAATCCCGTGTCGCCCCCCCACCTCAACCAAGTTCCACCCTTCCACCCACCCGCCTATCACCCACCCCCTACGGCCCCTGCGAAGCCTGCGACCCCGGCATCGACATCGTCGTAGCCATCGACGCAGCCGTCCCCCTCCTCGCCAACGGCTGCGAGAAGGCGCTCCCATTCCCCGTGGTGCCAGCCGTCCCGCTGCGGTTCAGCGTGGGGCTGCGGCTCCCGCTGCGGCTGGGGATGGCGCGCCCCGTGCGGCGCTCCTCCTCGCAGTTGGGGCAGGGCCCCGGGGTGTCGTAGACGTCGCACAGGTGCCGGAACCACGGGTACAGCTGGTGGGCCTCGGGCCGCCGCGTCTGGGCTTCGTCCATCATGCGCCGGATGTGCGGCAGCGTGGCGAGGACGGCTTTGACGGAGGGTTCGCGGGAGGGGTTGGAGGCGATGAGGTCGCGCGAGAGGATGGTGAGGGTGGTGAGGTAGTTGTCGAGGTTGTGCAGGGTTTCCGAGTATTTGAACTCGGCGCTTCCTGCGGCTGAGATGGTGCCCGAGGAAGAGATGGAGTTTCCGTCACCGCCGTTGCTGCTGCTGCCGCTGTTGTTGTTGATGGAGAGCTGCTCTTCGGCAAACTTGGCTGGTCGGCCGAGGAGGACAGTGGCCATCTCGAGGAAGACGCAACCCAGCGAGAAAATGTCGGAGCGCTCGTTCCGCCCATACTCGTGCATGGCCTCCGGATCGGCGTATTTTAGCGTCTTCGGGGTCGGACCTTCGGAAAACTGGCCCGTTTCGAAGTGCCTTGATAGGCCGAAGTCTGTCAACACGGGCAGACCAAAGTCGTCGATGACGATGTTGTCCGGCTTGATATCCTTGTGACGGATCTGCACGCTCCGCCGGTGGAGGTATGCTACGGCCTGGGCAAGACAGCCAAAAAAGGTGTGGAGATGGGGCAGGATCCAGTCAGCCTCCTTGGGGCTCTGGATAACCTCGTCCATGAAGGTGTGCAGATTGCATTGCGCAGGCGGGTACATGGCGATGCCGAGAATGTGCTTCTTGATCCGCTGGTTCGCGCTGAAGAAGATGCCGTGGCTCTTGCCTCGCGGTCGTCGCTTGATCTCTCGAGTCTGGATGCAGTAATCCTCGAACGATGCCACGTATGCGACGATGTGCGGGTGCCGCAGCGAGGACATGGTGCGGACCTCCTTGAGGGCATCACTACGTGCCTTGCTGTCTGGCCCCGGCGGCCGCGAGTTCTCCTTGCAGACTATCACCTTGAGGGCAAGAGGCCGGCGGTAGGCATAGCCCTCCGGGGAGGTGACCCGGTACACGATGGTCGAGCCCGAATCACCGAGTTCCGGGCCCTGTTGAACAAAGGGGCTGGGAGGCTTGAGGTATTCTTTACTGGCGTGGTGGAATACCTTGTGTTTCTTGGGGTCGAGGAAGGCTGCCTCGACAGGAGCCAGCCAGGCGTCCGACACCTCCCGGTTTGCATCGTCCCATGTGAAGTGATGGTCATCCTGACTGCTGAGGAAGTCACTCAGCGGGATCGGTTGCGTCTGGGACGACTGGCTGCCGTTCGACTCGAACGACATTAGGGACCTGGAGGGTGAAAGAAGTGGGATGTGTGAGACAAGGGTGAGCTTGGCCAAGCAGCCAAGCAGATTTGGGAGGGGAAGCCTGTTGTGGAGCGGTGCCAGCCCAAGTTCGAATCAGCGGCAGTGCATCAGCTCAAAACCAGGGGTAGAGAGCAGAATGTGACACAGTAACGCAGCCGGAAGAGAAGATCAGGGTTTCCGAGAACGAGACAGGGGGCGAGGGTGTGCAGAGGTGAAGAAAAAGAAAAAGGTCAAGTCAAGAGAGCCTCAAGAAGACGAGGCTGAACGAGTGTCTGTATTGTGCCGAGAGCCTTCGCATAGCTGGCTTTTGGGGGAGTCGCCCTACTGTGCGGCGGTAGGTCGGTTTGGATCGCCCCGGAATATGGGGTGTGATTCGATGACAATGCCGGGCCGCGTAGCAAGCAGGCGCCTGCCAACACAGACCCCAATTGGCGGCGCCCGGTATTGGCAGTAGGAGAGTTGGCTGCCGAATTCTTGAGCGGCCGAATGGGCGTAGAACGGCAGCGTCCCGGAAATACGGTGATCGGTGAAACAGTCCAAGGCTTGCCGTGTTGTGCTTACTAGCTTCCAAGGCTGATCCAAACCGGGCCATGGGATACCGAGTCCGATTTGAACCTGAATTCCCAACCGATGTCCAAGAAATGCACCATAGGCTTGCATTTGTGTCACCCTTTTTTCAAAAGAGGATAGAGTAATTGAGGGTACGGCTCCGCAACCCGGATGCAAAGTCGCGGCGCAGTGGTGCCTGATGGGTGGGTCGGTTCGGGCCGGCAGTTGTCCACTGTTGGCGGCAGGAGCGACCCGGGGGAGAGGTTAGGGATAGGAGTTGCAGAGAAAACAGTGTAAGTCATCTTGACTCAGCACTCATATCGAAACTGTCCTTTTAAATACTTGGTAGGCTAATTTATTAAGTATTGTTTCTTTTCTTATAAACCAACTCAACAAATGAAAACCGTTACACTATAACCACCGAGCGACACAGCCACCAATTAATCATCCTTTGACCCAATATCTGTCCTCACCCGCCCTGAACCACCTCAACTGACGAAAGGAAAGAGCGACGAAAACCACGTCAGGCTTTGACCGAACATCGGACTCAAAAGAACGCGTCGAATTCCGAGAGATGAGTCAGAGTTGCTCATGTGCTCACAGTGTAAATAAAATTGGAGCGGAAACAAGCCAGAATTTACATTTCTAGCAGTTGCTACCACGAGAGCTCTTGCCTATTTAGAAACCTAGGGCGGTTGAGAGCATGACTGTTTACTCAGAGAACCCTAAAGGTTCTCCGACTTTTCCCGGGTTGGTTGCGAGATCCGACCCATTTCTGATGTAGAAGTTCATGGTGACTTCCCAACCTTTAGCCAGGAGAGGTTGGAGGAGAAGGGGTCCCAAGATGTGGTCTCGCTCGGTGATGTATGTATTCAAAGTCATATATACTAGAAGAAAGTAGGTAAGCGGCAAACCAATCTATCTCCAAGTCCATCCCATCTCTGCATTCTCCAATACCATTACCTGTATCCAAGTTGAGTCAAATACACCCATCCATCCCCCAAAACCAACCAACCAACCTCTCAGAGCCCGCCCAAAGCTACCACCCATCCTCGTCAGCATCTCAAACAAACACACACACAAAACCTCACAAGCAAGCGGCAACTCACCAGCCGAATAACACAAATACCACGTCAAACTAGCCCCCCCATCCAACCACGCCGGATCAAACCCCTCGCCCGCAAAGAAGGCATACGCCCCCCTGGGATCCACCGTCGCATAATTCCCCCACACCACGCCCTTCCACCCACCCGTAATCGCCCCTTCACGCCCTCCACTAAAATAGGTATCCCACTCCTCGCGGACAAAGGCCGGGGTGCGCACCAGCGGGGTGTGGGGCAGCAGCGGCAGCATGTGGATGCCCTGGATGTCCTCGGTGCGGTTGCCGAAGTAGGTGGTGTGGTCGATCTTGTTCTCGAAGAGGATGCCGGCGACCTTGTTGCCGATGAAGGTGGAGGGCTGCACGGTGTTGGATGAGGTGTATAAGTAGTACGCCTGCATCGAGCGTGCTTGGATGGAGAGCATGAGGTTGCCGCTGTGGGGGGGTTAGCGGTGGTGGGTTAGTGGCGGTGGTTGGTGGAGGGGATGGGGGTAGAACCCTAGGGTCGGGGGAAAGGGGAGGACGTACCGGGCTTCCAGGTTCTTGTCGCCCGTGATGGAACCCCACATCTTCAGGGCGTAGGCGTGCATGGTGTCCTCCGAGCTGGATTCTTGATCGTTGCCGTCGAGCGTGTCGGAGAGCCCGTGGGCCCAGCTGTGGCCGTGGAACCAGTCGAAGCACCGCCAGAGGGGGAAGTACTGGTCCTGCGTGCTGGGGTTGGCGACGTCGCGGACGAGCATGTTGACGTAAGCCTTGTTGTCGTTGATCCATGACGGGTCGAGGTGGCCGATGACGGCCGCTGTGTAGATGAAGTAGCCCCAGTGGAAGTGGTGGTCGTTGTACATGGTGTTGCCGAAGTCGACGTAGGGGTCGCCCGTCACGTACGTGGCGGACGAGACCACGCCTCCCCAACCGCCTGGCCGTGTTAGATAGGGAAAACCGGCGATTGTTGATGAAAAGCCAAGTACTTACTCTCATACACAAGGGGGTACTTCTGGGCGTTCTGCGCAAAACGAGAGAATGCCACTTTCAGCTGCGTCAACCCGGCTTGTGCCAGCCCTTGATCTCCTAGCA